GCCACCGGCCACCGGCACCGGCCACCGGCCACCGGACCGGCCACCGGACACCGACAAAAAAAGTATATACTCTTCAGGTTCCATATGGTTCCATCGTGTTCCATCTTAATCTTAATGAGAAGGGATGGGCTCATCACCAGGCTAGCGGGTGATTCGAAAGGAGTGACAGGGAGAGAGCCTCTTTCTTACTAGCAGGGAAGGCAAAATGGATCTGGTGGTTTTGATGCTTTCGTGGTGTTTCGATTTTTTCTGGAAGGGGAAGAGAGGATTTGAAAGCAAAAAGCCGTGGAGTGAGACTGATGTGACCAGTGGGCTGTCATATGAGTCTTCTTTGGATGTTTTGCTTGGATCTTTAGTGTGAAAATTCGTTCCAAGGCTTCACCATAAGCTACTAAATGTTACTAACAGCTTTGCTAGGTAAAGGCAACAAGAATAGGGAATTCTGCAGTTTTTCCTTTATGGCAATTTCATTGTTAGACTGTTAGACTCAACAAGTCTCTTGAAGACTCGAAGTCTTTGGCTGGATTTGTACGGGTCGAAGCTCCGGAACCATGCAGGATGACACATTGACATGTCTACACATTGGTCATTTGCCAGTCTACTGCCCCTCCCCTCCCCATTCTGCGCTTCCTCAGTTCCGCATGGGAAGCTGATCCCGACCGGCCTTGAAGATCCGCCGATCCCAGGCGAAGGCCAAGCGCGCGGCCCTCGGAGCACTGGGCACGCTGTTCTGCGGAGAAGATGCTGGACGCGCGGAGCGCGTGAGGCGCGTGGTGCAAGCTGGAGTGCCGGCGCTGCTGAGAGAGGCGCTGAACGATGACGACAGCTCAAGGACGATTCGGAAGGTCTTCAGCGCGCTGGCTGAGCTGGCCAAGGCGGCTCCAGAGGAGCTGCCAGCAGAGACGATCGAGTTTGTCACTTGGGCGACGAGAGAGAGAGACACACACTCCCTTTCGTTCTGGAAACCATATCTATCCCGTTTGGGCTCCGTTTCTACCTCCGTTTCCATGGGACAGGGGTTGGTGCCAAAGGGGGTCTATAACCACCGAACCGGAGGATATATAGGCCAGGAGGGTATAGATTTAAAGGACCAGCTTTTCGTACCTCTCTGCCAGCAGTCACCTTCGACGGGGTGCGATCCATGGAGGTTAGGCTTAGGGGTGTCCAGCTACACATCCACTCACTGACTTGGGGACGTTTCACACACACCCTGAGCTCTGTGACTCCTGGTGTGCTTTCACGATGAGATCATCCCAGGTGGAGCGCACCTTGGCCGCCCACAGCGACTACGAAGAAATCCAGCGGTTGGGGCAGCAGATCCTGCTCGCCGCTCCGCAGAGGGAATGTCCCAAGGAGAATCCGACCTACTGGTCCGGCCACATCAGCGACCTGGGTTTTGTGGGTGTTCAGGTAATTCTTTTGTTTTCCCTATGGTTAAAGTCCCCATACCTGGTGAATATTAGGAATATATAATCTTTAAGATATACACTTTTTCTAGGTTCCTTAAGCAAATCCCAGGTGAGGAGGGCTGGACGGCCTGCCCTGTGACGGGCGACACTTTGAACACTCTCAGGAGCTGAGAAGCTAGAGCGGAGGAATTCAATTGCAGGGACTTGTTTGTTTGTTTGTTTGTTTGTTGTTGCCAGGGGTTCATGGAGTTGCGTGTTTGATGTATAATTTTCTATATATATATATTTTTTGTTTTTACCACGGTGTGTTATCCTAGCCTTCCAAGACCGTTTAGACCAGTCTGTGTCACAAAGTCCTTATAAGTCAAGCTACATGGTTGTTCGGTTAGTCCAAACCCCTTAAATCGATGGGCGAGGCGGCGTCCTATAGGATTTGAGATGGATTAGATAAGTCTAGATGAAGCAACCCATGCGTTGATCCCCTACCTTCAGGAGTACAGACGAAATCCATTTCTCTGGTCCCTTCACCGCAGGAAGATGTTCGTCGTGGACCAGCCTGGTGAACTGGGCAAGGGTCGAGACGCCGACAGCCACTGGGTTGTGGCGAAAGAAAGGGGATGAGGATGGATGTGTCTTCTTCCCGGTTCCCGGGTGAAGCCCCAAATTGGGACCCAGATTTTTCTTTCCCCCAATGTCCTCTTTCCCATGCTTTTGTTGGGTATATTTATTTTTCCCATTGAACGAATCTACCAGCACCTTCAAAGGGATCTCCACTGGAAGCCCCTACACTATTAAGGGACCTCCATTGGACACCCCTTGAAGGTCCAGGTATATGTTTTGTACCATCTTTTGTGGCTCCTTGGGAGCCGAGTCACGCCAAGGCTATCCCCGGAAGTACAACGCCCTGCGGGTGCATTGTGCGTGGCGCGTCGAGCACCAGGATTGCTGGGAGTCCTATGTGGTTGAACGATCGAAGGCGCAGAAGACCCTGAGACGACTCCGAGAGAAAGGAATGCCGGTGCCGCCGTGGCAGAGCAAGATTCAGGAAGCTTGGACCAGAGATATCGCTCGACGCGGCCGAGATATAGCCAGAGGTCGGCGGTGGGGGACCGCGAGCGATGCCCTTGATGCCGTGTGTGCCTGGGGTCGACGTGTAGTTCGTACCTGAGAGTTGTTTCCATGGTTTTTTGGGTTCAGGTTCCATTTGCTAGGCTACTTTGGAGGGTTAAGCTTTTTGGTTCTGGCTGAAGTCTCTCTTTTGAACAAGTGCATAACTGGTAGGGTATGTCTACGAGGTAGTTCATACGCTTGGCCTGAAAAACTCCGAAAACCGTAAGCATTCATCAATGAAGATAGAGCCAACGAACCAACAAAGTATTGAATTTGAGAATGGTTTGCGCAAGTTGATCAAAGCTTTTCCTCGATTTTTCCCAGTTTGTTGCCTCTCCTGGCTTCTTTGCCAGGTTCGGCTTGAGTCACTCACAAACTTCCACCCAGCTCCCCACGCTGTTTACGTTCTCGCTTTAGGCTGGCTCGTGATCCTCAGGACGTCTCCAAGAATTTGCCCGGCGCTACGTACGTGCATGAAGCCGGTGAGCGGTTCTTGCTGCACGGATGCAGCCCCGAAGTGCTCTTGGATATCCTCCACAATGGCTTCGATGACCGGGTGACGAAGACACCTGACGAACCCTATGGATCCACATACCGAACCTGAGGTACTCGTACGGTGAGGAAGGAGACTATTGATGTAATTAGGCTTGGGGGGGGCCAATTACCTTCTGAGAAGGTATGTGGATCCATAGGGGAAGTGCTGTTCGGACCGTTTCTCTTTTCTTTTGATACTTTTTTCGACACGTCAGTCATGTTCAACAATGAGTGACGTTTTCAGCAGCAGGTCTTTCACCAAACCATCATCATCCACGGAAATGTTGGTGCATGTCATTTCTTCAACTGTTTTCCATACTATGTTTTGCCACTCGCACATCGAATCGTCGAAGGAAGGGAATGTTCGGAGCGGGATGTTACTTTGCAGAAGACCCGGAGAAGATTGACCAGTACGTTCGCCCTGACCCACATCACAATGCCCCTGGTCTTGAAGAGCTTCACTCTCGCCTCTACACTGACGGGAACCTTGGGATTCAAATTGGATTTTGTTCTGCTCTTTCAGATGTCCGAAGTGCACTTGAGGGAAGCGGACATAGACTTCTCAAAAGGAACATTGGCAAGTGAACATAGAATCCTGAATGCCATGATCACATTGACGCTCCCGGGGGTGACATGATGACATGGCTCACATGCACTTCTGAAAAAGGAACATTGGCAATTGAACTATCTTGAAGGCTATGATCACTTTGAAGTTCCCACAGGTGACATGATCCTGCACGCGAGTACCTGTTCATGTCACTCTTCAACAACCGATAAGTCCGCACATCCCCACACCCTCGAAAATCACGGCAATGGCACTCTTCCAGCCCAGACATTGCAGGAACTCACATCCCGATGGAGATGTCTTCTATTGCGTGGTGGCCCGAGTCGTTTGTGGCGCTTGCATCGAAACCAAAGGTTTGGACCGCAGCGCCCCAACCAAGGACGCCGCGAGCGGACCACTGGGATGTGCATAGCAATCTAAGTTAAGTTGTTCTTTGATTTTGGCCGCTTCAAGTTTTGGATGCCAAATGTTTTGGCACGGAAGCCCTCGAAAACGCATCAATGTGTAGGGCCCGCCATGTCTTATGTTTGCTGTCTTTCATCCCCTCTCAAAGCCAAGCCAAAGCCAAGGCCAAGAGATCTTCGTGAATGGCGACCTGAAACAGTTGGTCTCCATCCCGGGCATCACACCCTCCGTGCGCTACCAGACGCTGCTGGTGAATTTGGCCAGCGAGGGACCGCTGGGGCGCTGCGTGATGCGCTTCAGAGAGTTCGTGTCCTTCAAAGGAGCGCGGGAGGAGGAACTACACTCTGACGAACACATCACATGGTAAGTGGTTCCGCATGGCCCGCTGTGAAGACCATGAAAGCCTCTACAAACAGGTGGTGAACTCCATTTCCATCTGAGTGAGAATAGGAGTGTAGATGAATTGGAGCCAGGAGTCATCATTCGCTCGGGGTACCGGTGCGGGTGCTGGATGGGACGAACGAAACCTACCCAAGTCCACTCAATAGAGGTCCGAGCTGAAGAACGACCAGAATGCTGAACGACTTAGATGGACTCCGCGGACCCCGAAAGAGAGCAATTCCTGCTCCTCTGAAGAAAGAACAGCCCAAGGACCTCCACCAAAAGTCGAGCAGTTTCTGCTTTTTGTTGCGGGTCAATGTTGCAGACTGGATCATTAAGTCAAAGGTGCGCCCCGGCCACCTGTCGCCCAGGAGCTGCGATCTACCCGGAGTACTTGATTGCTTTTGTGAGGGAGTCGACTTGATGCTGAAAGCACCGAGTGGCCACGAGGGAGAGCTTCAGACCTCCCTGGCCAAAGGGTGCTGGTGGGTAGCTTCAGACCTCTGAAGTGATGTGAATGGAACCAAACAGGGTGCTTAGGAATGAACAAGACGAAACACACACCCCAAATAAATAGCAAAACAATGCAAAACAAACTCCTTCCCACTACCCAGAGTTGGGTTTGATGCCATTCTATATATACTGTAGACTTGGACTCTTCAGATGAAGACCACCCATTCTGTAGCAGCGAGGGGATCTGGAGAGTTCACGGCGCCCGGGGTATTCCGAGCGGAACACGCCGGAAGACGGAGCGCTTTCCGTTCAGATTCCGCCTGCAGTTTGCAGCGGAGTCGGATGGATCGATGATCGGGTGCAGTCTCAATCGAAAGAGTGCGAGAAATTCGATGACCCCTTGGGCTCCTCCAGTCATACCTTCGTTTCGAAGGTGGGACTCGGGTGGGTGCCTAGGAGGTTCCAGTCAGAGGAGGTACGACTGGAGCCCAGTTTGGGTGAGTGTGTTGGAGACATGCTTTCGTACTTCATGAACTCGAAAGCGTCTTTCGGGCCACTCTTTGGGCTGCTGATCTTGGGCCACTATAAGTCTGAAGAAGGGAAGCTAACTAACAGTCTCTCCCAAAATCCGGAATTTTGCATTGTCAACCGAAAAGGTCCTTGCTTGAAGACATTCGGATGTGACCGTAGTTCTGGGACCTCACTCTGTGACGACTTGTTCAGGCCGAGAAGAATGAAGAGACCCAGCTGGATTATGCGGCCTTGGAAGATTGTGGCTTGCAGCCGAAGAAAGCCTTGGTAGCACTCAAGCGAGAGCTTCAACAGACTTTTCTTTTGCGTTTCTTTTGGTGTGGGAGGGAGGGTTGGGACCCCAGCCTGCCCATTACCTGAAATGAAAAGGGATATGGAAGGGAAAGCTAGTGAGATGTTGCATGATGAGTCTCATCCTTTGGGAAGTGAACGCTTTTTCCGTGTCCTTTGAGTGTTCGTTGCTGATGGGAACCGCCTTCTGATGGTTTCCAGGTTTATTAGAAAATAAGACTGTATAGATGAATGCATATAGATGTGTATATAATATGTGTATGTTTTTTTGGACAGCAATGTGACCGTGATGCTCCCTTGTATGGCGTACCGTCCCCTGTATGGAGTTCCATTTTGTTTGGCATCGCTGCCCTGGGCCGCCCGGAGCCGCTTCGCCACCACCATCCATGTGACGCGACACCGAAGGAGGTGTTACCCGGTGGGCCCCAAACGAGAATGGATCGTTCAGTCAAGCGCAGCCTGCAATCCAGCATGTATCCAGATGTATTGGACCTCGCATGGTCCAGCATGGTCCATTCAAGCATGGTCCAGCTGTGACAAAAAGATGCTGATCCCAAAAAGATGCTGATCTGGAGATGACCGGACTGATCCAGAGCAGATCTTTCCCAACCGGAACTGCCCCGCCTTCGAAAAGGCCGCGAAAAGGAGAGTACTTACGCAAAAGCTTCCCAGGGAAAATCACCAAGAGGCACAGAGACATAAGAAACCAGAGACCTTCAAGGTCCGCACTGAGATTCATGTATGTGCGTGTGTTTTGATAGAGCACCAAAAGACGTCTTAAAATCATCCCAACTGTTTCTGCATATATTCCATACAAACATGGATTGTTAGGGGGTATTACCTGGCCAGAACTTGGGTGGTCTGACCTGGACCTCATTGACCCCAGGTGATCAACTACTTCAACAAGCAGCTGCCGGACCTCACATCAGTCTCGGCCCCTTCGGCGTAGTACTGCCATGTCGCAAACAGACCCTACGGCTCCTGGCCTACCTCCGGTTCTAACCTCGGTGGTTAGGGTGGGTGCCAGGGTCTAACCATCGAACCACAGGAGCCCAAGCGGGAGATCGCAGTGGGTGGGGCATTTGTGGGGCCTTTGTTTTCCAAGCAAAGAAGGGAGTTTGTTTTATAGCGACCCCCAGATAGAAGATGATAGAAGAGTCAAAACCCTTTCGACCCCCAAATGGAAAGAAGATGATAGAAGAGTAACATCCCTTTCAACATGTATGTGGGCATTGTTTCTATTTGTTTTGGGGCCTCGATACATTGAACACACAGCATTGGAAGAGGATTCACACCTTCACAACAGTCTTGCTAATGGTAACCCTTTGGAGCTCACGGTTTGGAGGATTTAGCATCCTCCAGCAGTGCTTCATCTGGGGTTCCACGTTTGGGTTTGGAGAAACGACCTTTTTCTTCGGATGCTTGGCTGGACGTTGCTCGTCGTACTCGAGCTCTGAGGAGTTGAACACATACTGCCGTGGCTACTTGAAAAAGTTCAAGGAGGCCTACTTTGTGATGCTTCACTATGAAGACGGCATCAACAAGGAGAACATGAACTTTGAGGAGCTCTACAGGTACTACAGCACCCTGCACAGAGGACGAAACGGTGTAGTAGCAGTAGGTAGCAGTAAACTACTTGAGTTACGCCCTGAAAGATTCTGAAACCCAGTGGAGGAACGCGGTCCATGTCAGCTTTCGGTTGTAACCATCAAGTTGTTTTGAAGGATGTAAAGGATTATAGTGGAGTGCTGTATGTTGGAAGAAATTGGTCGAAAAAAAGAATAGTCGATCTTCCACTTGCTGGGTTGATTGAAAATTGCAGGAAGCCAGATTGAAAGGAAGAAATACCCGCAACCATAAAATCATAGGCACATTTCTTCCAATTGAATGGTTGCAGCTGGTTTTCCTTTTCAAAACATTGAGCGGTACTACACGGTTGGTACTACATCGAGCGGTGTCAAGTTACAATGACTCATGTCAACCTATGATTAATAAACCTCCCGTGAATAAAACTACGCAAATCCAAAAAACTAAACAATAAACCTCCCCTAAAAAACTAAACGTTTTTACCCCTGGACCTGGATCTCCCCAATTTGCACTTTAAACAAACTGCTTCAATTCTCTGTTAATTGATTCCTTCTTTGGATTCCGTCTTGCATCCTTCCCTCTTTAACACATGACTTAGACCCACCAAACTCCAGAACCTTCTGATCAACATTCTTTTTAAAGTCCCTATTCAAAACCAGGCTACACCCCTTGAAGCCCCGTTTGATTAATTACCTTAAGATCTTCCAAAATACAGCACTGCACTATATAATGTAAATACTGTATATGACCAAGAACCTCTTTGTTTGCACCACCGATGCTTCAAGCCACAAGCATTCCCAAGCATCTATTTCTGATTGAACAAGCCTTTCAAGAAAGGGCCTGAACATTTACCTGAGCTTGGCACCTCGTGGAGCAAGGCACCTTGGGAGAGAAGGAAAAGGCCACCTATCAAAAGCAGATCAGTGAGTTGGAAGCGAAGGATCAGGATGGCCTCAAGGCGGGGACTGGACCAGGACGGCCCGGATTTGAGGGGCAGAACACCTGAAACGGCCCCTGAGCTGTTACAACATGTCACGACTACACGAGCTTTTACAATGGTGACCAGTGGGGATTCCCAACCATCCGTCGGTCTAGTGGGTCTTGTTTGGTGAATTTCAAGGGGTAGACTGCCCCTTTGGCCAGTCTTTGGGTTTGGCCAGAGCGCGTGGGGCACGGGGGAGGAGGTCCAGAAGTAGAAGAGGTGATCTTTGGTGATTCTTTTGGTTCATTTGAAGCAGGCGAGCAGCTCGCCGATGGCCCCAAATCACCGAACTCATTTTGCCATGGAAATCCATCGCATGGAAATCGGGTGGTTAATGGATACTGCTGGATACCTCCGTTCGGAGCTATATGATCATTAGACACCCCTGGCCCGGGGGCCCCTGGTATACCATGTACGTAGGGTGCCTCGGGTGCCTCTCCAAACTCCACCTCGGACGCTACGCGCCCAGCACCCTCGGTGTCGTTGACCCGCCCGCACTGGGCCACCTGTGCTGCGGCTGCAACGACCCACAACGGCGGTTTTGGGGTCAGGTGGAGCATGAGGTTTGGACGTCTCTGGGGGTGAACGCTGCCTTGGATGCCATGCAACAGAAGTTGTCTGGACCTGAGAGCGGGCGTGGGTGGGGCGCGACCGTCGGTGCGGCCGGGTGAAGTGAAGAGAAAACCCCGCCCCTTTTGTAAGGGCTCCTCTTGGATGCTTCCAGAAACGGGGTGGAGCATGTTTTGCTTGGTTTGGCACGTGGCGTCTATTTTTGAACATGGAACTGAGATGATTTCTGTCTGACTGGTGTTTCTCAAAGGTGCTATTTGTTGTCTCCGCCCTATGTTCAAATGGCCGCCGCCCAGCACTGAACACTCGATCATCGTTCACATGCCATGAAGGAGTTTGTACTAAGCAGCCGACTCTACAGGTCTCCAAAGGAGGCTTTTGGGAGACTTGACATGTGGTACAGTGCGATTTTCCAAGTCTCTTGAATAGTTCCATGTCTCCACAGGGCCTACGACACTCAACAACATCGCTGAGACGAAGGCCCAGACGAGGCCCGCCAGTCGCTCCGGGTCGAAGCGAGGTCGAGTTGGATGGAGGAGAATCGCAAGACGGTCTTGAGCATCTTGAAGGCCGAGCCGAGTGGATGACGGATGATCTTCGGGATTTTGGTGTTGTTGCTCATTATGTGCTTAGCAGATATTGGGCGACATGAGTCACATGTTTTCTGCGTCCAGAACTCCCAAGTAAAGAATGAATAGGGGCAATGAAACTAACGTCGTCTTTGCGAAAGAAAAACTGAGGATTGCGAAAGCTTGCGAAAGCATTGAGCGAAAGAGTCCTTGAGAAGTAATGTCGCGCAAGCTCTGCGAAAGAGTATTTTCCTACTGCTTGAGAGCCTACGATGTTTGGTGAAAAAGGTTGCAAACATTTGCATTTATAGAACCAATCCGCCGCGTCAGCGCCGCAAGCTTTGTGTTTTTCAATTACACCTTCCGTGCAACAGCTAAAACTGCAGTCGCTTCCAGTGCTGCGTAAGCTGCGAAAGAGTTGGTAGAAAGGAATCTTACTTTGGATTTGAACACCGCTCACATGTATGTGATCTGACCGGACGGATGTGATCTCATCATGGTTTTGTGTGGACTGGTGCCCGGACATGAAAGGTGAGGCTGCAACCAAACCCCATGGCTTCCTGGCCCACCATTCATTTAATAGGCGTTCCGAATCAACGACCAGGATTTTACACCACAAACACCAGGTCGTTCCCATTTGTTTGATGGTCTTTCCGGAAGTCAATAGGGGCCAATGTAGAGTCGTCTCCAAGCACTCTCGAGTCACTCGCAGACGAAGCAGTGACACTCATACTGTGACACTCATACCGTGACCATCATCACCATGGAAGTGGAGCGTGGAAGGTCCCTTGGACGACCCGTTTTTTGTCATCACCAAACGGACTCCCTCGCTGAACAAAAACACCTCCTTTCGCGGCAAACAGTTTGGGGTTCGAACGAAAGCCAGTTCAGCAGAGGTTTTTGCAGAACCCGAGTTCGTTCGCCTCTCCTAATTGGGTACCTCTGGTTTTCCGGGTCTTAGTTACGGTCACGTTCCACCTCTGGAAATGGGTGGTGCATTCCCCCTGGTGTCCCTTCCCTGGTGTCCCTTTGCGGCTTTGCGACCTCCCTCCCCTCCTCCCCTCCCTCCTTCCCTCCCGTTTTCGCGATGCGCGGAAGGGGAAGAAGGAGGACTTGCTGTGCGAAGTGGAAAAGCTGGAAAAGGCTCTTGGCCCGCAGGGCGATGAAGAGCTCCGTGTGGCCCTCCAGGACTGGACCCGTGAGCCGTGCGACCGAGCGCTCTGCTTGGGGTTGTCGATGGATAGGCCGATAGGCCCGAGGTTAAGGGGTGTCCATTCGTTATCCCAACACAGGGGGTCCTGGGAAATCGTAGTCTTTTGGACACACCAAGCACAGCGGTAGGATCACCCACCTCGGACCATACAAGGTGGTTTGAGTTTCATGCTCAGCTTGCGTGGGAAGGAAGATGAAGCAACGAATGAAGAGATTTACCAGAAGTTCTGGACCTGAAAAAGGGGCGTCCTGTTTGGAGATCCCTGTACGTAGAGCAGGAGTTTTTTAATTTGTGACCCCTTTGAAGGTGCCGTTTACTGTACTGTACCACGGTGAATGAAGATGCTCAAAGCAGACACGGCGGAAAACAATGGCTGAAGTGTGTCTGTGGGGCCGCCAAGAACATCCAAGAACCATGCTTCATTGGAGACCGCCCAGGAGTACAACAGCGAGTTCCAGCATGCCATGAAGGTGGTCTTCGAGGGCGACAACAACTGTAGCCAATCCAAGCCGAAGCAGAATCTTGAAAGCAAATACTTTGCTGTCCTTGAGTTAACGTGGTGGGATGTCAAAAATATTCAAAAGACCTGGTTCCCCCCTCATCGATTTCTATGCCTGCGACTGAAAAAGCATTTGGCAGCCACCTGGCTGCTATACACTAGCCTGTCAAAAGTTGACAAACAACCTAATTAATTGAACCACAGTTTTCTTGGCAGTTGCCTGTAAATTTTAGATAATTTTAGGACCAATGAAAGTTTGCGCTCCACAGTCCGACAATTGGCAAAAGGATGATCCCAAAAAACAGCTCGACACCGACGGGGGAAGAGACTCGCCCTGAGCCCTGCGGCGAACTCTTCGTCGCGAGGGTGGTCTTTTCGGCCAACACACCATCGAGAGGTCAGCGGTTAAGGGTCCAGGCGAACGGAGGCACGACTGATGGGACTTGCATATTTAATATTTACCAATCAGTTGGGGTGGGCCATGAGGGGTCAATGGGGCAGCACATATTCCAGTCCAAATGGGTACCTGTGGGATTGTTTATGGAATCCTTCAGCCTCTCTTGGCATCCCGAGGGTCAAGACCTTGACCAGAATGGGTTTATATAGTGCGGCCCTCCCCTCAATTGCTGTCAGATCGGGTTCTGGGTTCCAGGGGTCTTCAAATCGAACCTTGGAACAGGGCTTCTTGAACGTCTTTCCCCTCGCCCAAAGGGCGCTCGCTGTTTCTTCGCCAGCCTCTCTGTCTTCGTGAGAAAAACACCCGTGGATTCGACGTGGTCCTCTCTGCACTTCATGCGCGCCCGGGGGACCGACGTCCGGCATTTCGTCCGGAAGCCGTGGTTTTCTTGGTCGGGCCGCTATTCCTCACCTCCTGAGGGACAGCCGCTATTCGAAGCAATATGTCTGGGCCTTCGACACGAAGGAGGTGAGCCGCACCTTCGAAGAGGAGAGGTTGATCGGTCTTTCTCTCCCACGCGGGAGGTGAGCGCTCGAAGCCGCGAGAGTTTGGATGCGCCGTGGAGGTCTTGGGCCCTGCATGTTTTGGTCCAACACCAGCCAAAGAGTGGTTTGTAGAGCTTCCCTGACTATGCGACGATCTATTTTCCATCTAATCACCATCCGAACTGGATGGTGGTGGATGATGTTTCTGTTTGGTTTCGGGTGGGCTTTTGCCGTGGCACCGGGCCTTGTTGGGTGCCTTTGAAGTTCGTCGCTTGAGCCGGACCCTTGAACGCCGCGAAAACGGTGCCAGCGACAACGCGAGCTCGCTCGGCCTCCGGCCCAAATGTATGGTTGGCGGAAAGCTGTGGCGGCCCTCCTAAGAAAAGATTCAGTAGATCGTCCAACTGTTCAAGATTTCTGCCATTTTGGGATGAAAAAGGCAGAACTCCTGCAGAGTTGGAAGATCTAGAGTATGTACAGCTCTGAAGACTCTCGCCGGGACTAGATTGAGGAGAGAGCCCCTGATCTCCCAAAGACCTTCCTTTTGGATCCTGCATAGACTCTAGACCTCACTTTTCTCTGTTGGTACCTCGCGTCTTCTCACGTCGCCTCTCGTTTCTGGCCCGTCGCCCCGCTTGGGTTTCCCCACCGTTTCTCGCCTAGCCCTGTGTTTGGTCGACGCCCGTTTCCGCCTGCGGCGACCTGACCTGTCTACGCCGTCTACGCCAGGAGTGGGTGGAGACCTATCTACGCCTCCGCGCCGAGTTGAAGGACCAATCGCTTTTCCCCGACTTGGAGGCCCGACGACGCGTCGTTTCAGCGCGCGTGGGGAACGTTTCGGCGGCGACAGACAGGAGAGCGCAGGAGCGACGAGAAAGCGCTTCAGCGCTTGGGCACCGCATGTTCTTTTGGTCTTTTGAGTATATCCAACTCAGTGTCACGGTGTAGGTGGTTTGATCAGTGACAAACGCGAAGAACTTCACTGGTTCCAACATTTCCCAGATTAGAAAGGGTTCCAAACACCGGCGCACTCAGTCTCGAAGGGCCGACTGGGGACTGAAGGGCCGGCCGGGCCCAATAGATAGGTTCAGTGGATAGGCTAGTGAATTGAGCCAGGCCGCCAAACTGACGAGAAGACGCACGAAACAAACAGATGCATGTATAGACCGTTGATGAACAAAACCCCCAAACCATGTTGGATTGTAAAGCGCTCTTGAACTCGGAGATTTCTCTTCGTCAACGGTCTACCAAGACCTTCAGTACTACGTTCACAACAGAGACTCCAGTTCGAGGTCACGTACGGCTCAGGTCCTGCTACCAGCAGTTCCATGGAATTGTGTGCTATGATAGTGATGGAGGTGAGCAATGCCCAGAACATCCACTCAGTCAGGGACTGAACTCTAAACACCACTTTCGAACTCCTGGTACAAGCACCGTGACCCCATTAATGGGGGTCACCGTACGGCGATAAAGACTTTGGTTTTGTTCATCCCATCCAGCCGTGGATGTGACAGGGGCACTCCTATATATCCTCCCCCACTTCGACACCCCGTCGAAGGTGACTGGTGGTATATTGGAATGTATTAGATTAGGGGCGTCCATAAATCCACTCACTTAGGGACCAAACACCACCCTGACATGTGACCCCTGGTATGTGCTTTTTGGGCCCCATTCTTTGGCCCTCGTCAGGACTTGCGCGAGAAGCTCAAGGACACCTACACAGGTGCGGGTCGAGCTGGGTCGGTCGGTCGAGCTGGGTCCGGTGCTTGAAGCCCTTTCTCGAAGCATCCGAGGCTCTTTGGACGGAAACACTGCATGCGAAAGTGGGTGAGATCATGCGACAAATACCGGACAGAGCAGGAGGACTTCTATGTTCTGCGACGGAACCTGTCCCTTCCTGTTGAACAAGTATTGAAGAAGTATATGAACCCTAGAAGTTAGATAAGTTAGCCTAGAAGTCCCAAGATGATTTCTGGCGCCCTCGAAGTACCCGAAGATTGTGTTGGGGTTTGACCAGCAAAGTGGGACCGACCATTTGTTTAAAACAACCGTAGAGTGTAGTTCCAGGGTGAAAATCTGTTGAGCCTTCTTCCTCACAAGTTTGAAGTTAAGAATTCGTCTTTTTGGTGAAGTTGCAAACAAGTAGATCAGATCAGTCCCCAGTCACCAGTGGCTTGCTTGGACGGAGAGAACGAGAGAGAGAGAGGCTTTCGATGCCACGCGTACTTTGATGGGGAGTAGATAGACTATTTACGAACCAGTATCTATAGAGTCCAAGACCATTGATTTATGGTCTTTAGGTGCTCCACTTCGGTGTCCAAGGGCTTTGTGGGCTTCTATAGGGCTGGGCTTGGTCTGGCCCACCCGGCCTGTGGAGTTGGACAGGGCAGATCTTTTCCATTCGACCGATGGCAGATTTCTGGTCCAGCTCGCTCAGCGAGGCAATATGCTGGATATGCGTTTGCGGCCTCATGCTGCCTTCAACCGCATCATGAAAGTCTCCAGCTGCCTGCTCGAAGAAGGGTATATCTGAGAGAAGGCAGCTGACTGATTGCTGTGATGTCTCTCAGAAACTGCATATCTGATGTGCCAGAATCCCAACATCCCAGAAGGAAGAAGAAAAGAACCTTCTATATCTGATTGTTAGATGTGCCAGCATCTTCAGAATGACCAAACTTTGAGGTCCGACCTGGGTCGCGCACCCTTTGGGGGCCCAAGTCGTGACCGACCGGTCATGAACCGAAAAATCCAGTTCGGTCACGAACTGAAGCACCAGGTATAGATGATCGGCATTTTGGGTTGAAGACTCATTGGTTTGTTTTAGGGATGTGCCTGTTGCGCCTTCTTGAGAATCTTGACCCACGCGTATTGAATTGGCTCGCCACCTCCTCGACACAGTTGCTTCCAAGCTTCCAAACATGCAGAATCAGTACAGTTCCGCAGAAGAATACGCGGATCACTTGATCGCAACGCCCGAATGGATTTTGTCACCTTGAACCTGGTTGCGCATGCGAAATTCAATGAAATTCATGTGCCGGGACTGGTGCCCTCTCCTTGCCTTCCTGGCCTTCTCCTGGCTTCTGGCTTTGAATCCGAGGCTTTGTCATCATGCAGTACCCCATGCGAACTCTCACGAAGCAAGATGCCTGGCCGCACCTGTGGTTGGAGGGCGAAGAACGACCGCCCATGGGATGTTAACCGGGGGATCGCGGTCGGGGATGAGCGGTCGTGATGACCTAGAACTCTGTTTTGGATCAGCAACCACCCCAAAATCTGGTCAAATCACCCCAACATCTGGTCAAATTCCTATATCAAAGCGGGTGAAGACAGTCTGAAAAATGTCTGGGTTGTAGCAGCTGGCGGACGAATTCGAATTTATCCAAGCGTCGAAGTCCGGGCTTGGAAACTTTGCAGATGTCTTGGGACACGTCATGTAGACTCTTGATTAATAGATATTAATAGCTTCCCCCTGCTTGGAAGAGATCTTATTTTCTTCAGTATCTTCTTCATATGGGAGGGTTTAAGAGTCAAGAGTCTACATGACCAGCGCAGCTTCGTCACCGATCCAATCGCTTCGTCCCGTCGACCGGTCGTCCGGCCCAGTGACCAACCGCTGAGGAGTTGGCGAAACCCGTTTCGACCAACACGGTTTCGAACCGTTTAGGGCTCCGTTTTCGTTCCGCAACGGTTCGGTATGACCTGGTACCCTCCTGGAGAGCCGAGAGCCGAGAGCCAGTCCCACCTTCCAAGAAGGTAGGACTGGAGCCGAAAAAGAAGCCGAGAGCACTTCCACACTGGTCAGGTCACTCGTGAGACCGGTGGCTGTGGGTCAGTTACTAGCTGACCAGTGTCGCTCAGTCGCGGCCAATGGTGGACCTGTTCGGGTTCCCGGTGGGCCACGACCCACATGAGTTGCTCGCGTTGAACCGAGGAGATGTACAGCAAGAGCGGACATTCCAATGATGGTGTGACCGGAAGCTTTAACCCTCACAAGGTCTTGAAGGGCATGGTCACTGAGAGGCTGTTGGACTTGCAGGACTTGTTGGACTTGCCACTCATTTAGGGAATGAGGCGTTCCATGGAAGGGAATGTCCCAATAGAGATTCCTCAGGAAATATCCACCCTGGAGGCCCCCAAACCAGGTTCGTAATATATTCCTTGTTATATACTTGTTCCATCATTTGGTTCCTGACCACAAACCGCCCTGGCCGCTTACGCCCGGCAGGACATCGTGGAGGTGGTCTTGGAACACATCCATAACATCTATGAGGCGTTCGCTCAAGCAGGGAGAATCTTCCCATGGGTCTGTTGAGTCCAATTGGGACAGGGTGAGAATCTTCCCATGACGCGAAGTCTGGACCCTGCGTTCAGGGATCGGGGCGCGGACCCGAACCAACTCCGGTTTTGAGGGACCGGTCGGACTGTTTGGAGCGTGCGAATCTTGATGCATTTCACAAAACATCACAAACTGTTTTACGTGTACAGTCCTGCTAAAAAAACTATGGATATTCAGGATTGGGATGAATTTTTCATGGTCGGCCACCGCTTCGGCTGCCATTGGCTTCGCTTCAATCAAAAGGCTGCGATCGCACTGCTCCGCAGAACACCTCTCTTGGAAGGGTGTTCAGTCAGTTGCTCCTTCAGTGGCCTCCTGACTCATGAAGTCGGGTGCGGTGCACGGCCGAGCGACGCGACGCGTCCACTACCAGCACCCTCCAACAGGCTGTTAGATGCTGTTAGTTGAGGGTTGTTGGACCCTAACAGGTTTCAATTGGTGATCTGTCGGAGGGTCCTGGTATAGGCATTCAGAGTGAGGGTGGATTTTTTGCGTGGCCGAAGGGGTCCGTCTGACTCGAGCGTCCATTCTTGCGTCGGCCAAGAGGTGTGAAGGGCTCAACCGATCTAGAACGGGACGGTGCTACTGAGTCATCTAGACTTGCGACACTTCACACACCCCAAAGCCCCTGCTATAATCGGCTTTTTGGGCCATCGATGTCTCTTTTTTTCTTCTTGCTGCCACTTCACGTCGCCTTTCTTGGGCTCAGGGACTCAGGAAAGCCGGTGGCCGGGGGGGGCGGGGGCATCCGAAGGGGTTCACCCCAGCGAGAGACGTTCAGTGAACCCAGAGAGGTCCAGAGACCGACCCTATATATGAACCAAGCAATGGTCCAAGCTAAATGTGGATGATGAGCACATTCTGGGTCCTTCTGAAGTGGCGCTTTGCGGACTGTGGGAAAAAGCCTTCTTTCCCGATAACGCTGACCCGGACCCTCCCGAAACCGCACGAGTCCGGCGTTGCTTCGCAGACCACGACCACGAGTCCCGCACCGTTGTCCCGCAGGCTCCGGTGACGCGGGTGCATGAGATGCTCACCGACCGGCACACGGCGGTGAAATGCCATCCGAAGTTCAGGGAGAAGTTCACCGCGAAATACCAGGCGCGCCGAAGCCGCGGAAGCCGCGGAAGCCGCGGAGTCCGCCGTGCTCCGCGGTCCGCACGCGGCGCGTGTCGCCGCGCGGAGAGCGTCTGGCAGCGGAAATGGGTCTGAGAGGTGAGCCTGAGATGGTCCTCAAAATTTCGGGATGTTGGGGACTTGAACAACTGAGGATCAGAGGGGACATCGGATGGCCAAGATGGGTTCAGGCTACCGGGAGAAAAAAAGGAGCCCGCCGCAATCCTGGTCTTGGGGGTTCATGATGTTTATATGTTCAAATTCCGGAACTGGGTGAATACCCGACGAATATGTTCTTTTTTTGTTTGCTCGGTTTTCTATTTTATAAGTAGATCCAAGACCCAGTGAGCTCACGTGGATAACCGGTGACCTTTTCTGGGGCGATTGGAGACACCCCACTAAAGAAGAAGATGTGGACAAGTTTGGTTACTGTAAAACATCTTATTGTAAAACATAGCATGTGTCCCACTGGGTCAATAATGGTCGATAAAAGGTCATCACCGATGTTGTTTTCGAAAGGCATGTTCTTTCCTTGTCATCCACTGGGCCCAGGAACGGGATAGACCCAATGTTGCCTTTCTCTTCGGGAAGTTCCCGAAAGGCGGAAAACAGCCCAAACCTCTCTTCAGACAGGAGATTTTGGAGCAACAGCTCTCACAAGCCAACCAGTTCTTGCAGCGGCTCATCAATCAGACCACTGCTTGCGCGCCGGCAGACCTCAACACACGGCAGCTCGTTTCGCTAACGTCATGAACATGGACGGATCTTGAAGGGATTGGAAGAGGGGGTCCATTTGTGTTTCATCCCCACCTGAGAAGGTTTTCTGGACCCTTCAGACTCCTAAACCGACCCAAAACACCTTCAGAGCCCCGCCGGATGGCATGAACTCCTTTGGGATTCAGTCCGATCCAGTGGGATTCCGTCCATCGGGCGAAGTCCGGAGTCCCAATGGAGTGTCGTGTCTGGGACATGAGTGTTGCGGGCGAGACAGATGTTGCTGAGTCGATGGTCTTGCAGTCTTCTCGCCTGTCTTGGTGTTGTTGCAGCAGATCCAATGAACGCACCTGGTGGTTCAAAGTGACCGGACTTGAGTCACCCGGGGTTTCAGATCACACACACAGACCATCACAGACCTGGTCACCAGCAGGGACTCCAAGTTGTTCGGTCACAGAAGCTGGCATAGTTCGGTTTGCGGGTCTTGTCGAATCATTCTGAGAGCCACATCCAAGTAAGATTGGCAACCAGGAAAACTGCAGGTCCAGGGTGCACCCTCTGAACCTTTTGGGCCTTTGCCAGGTGCGCAACCCAAGTTCTATAGAACTGAGTCAACGTCCCGGACCTTTGAGCTTTGGGTTTGGTTGGTCAACAGAAACACACGCATGTGTTTCAGCCAGGCGTGATAGTCGCGTGATGTTTCCGCTCATGGATCCTCTGTCACTGACGGTCAACAAGTCCTGAGGTTGGTCCTTTGTGACTCTGTACGCCAGTTGGTCCACGTTGAACGTCGGCCATGTGCACGTCGGTCAGGAACTGAGGGTCCTGACTCTGAACGTTTCTGGACAACGACCACAACGGGGCAGGTGCCATCCACCCCTGGCGCCAGCGTTGTTGCTCATGGTCGCTATTTTTGGCCCGCCCGTCCGTTGGCGGCGAGCTTAGGTTGATCTCCCTGCTGGGCATTACCCCAAAGAGCCAGGCCCAGGCTGGGCCCAGCGGCGTGTGTGGGATCGTTTTTGAAGAATTGTCTTCACGAAACTCCAACATCGATCCAGACATTCCCAGGCGATCCATGGTGGCGCCACCCAATGGCCTGCATGAAAAGCCACTCACAAACCACCAGTCACATAGGCCATCATGTGGGGACTTTCGAGGGGGAGGCTGCCTGATTGGAGCTGTACATCCCTGGATCTTCCAACTCTGGATCTATGACCTCTCCATCAGTGGAATCTGCCAGGCACTGAAGTCTCACCCTATAGGCATCCAGAGGTGAAGGCTTGGCAGGATTTCTGCAGAATTTGTCAATAAAACCCGCCCAGTTCGGCAGAGACTAAAACTGGTGAAAATGACCCAAGCACCGACAGGGATCGGGATCTCCCCTAGAAAACGACCAAAGGATCCTTACATATCCACAAGTTTGGGATCCGGGATCGCGCTGTGAGGGGCTGCGGAAGACTTCCAACAACCTGATCAGGTTGTAGGTTGTAGGTTGTTGGAGGATGAGGACCTACCGAACAGTAGTCTGATCAAGTCTGATCCTGCATGAATCACTCTATACATCCTTATTCAAGTCTTGATGAGGCCCTAACCGCCGTAACCCCCCGAACTTGTAGTGATTCATCAAGACTGGGGACCACTCTGAGCTGGGTGCCAGCTAACGTCCGAAGTCCCGTTTGCGGCTCAGGACTCGAGTCCGGAGCGGGTTGAGGCGAATGCCAGTGATGTGCCTGAGCGTGTGGGTAAGCATCGAGAGGCGGTCAAGGAGGTGCAGAAGACCGTCGAGACTTGGAAAGGGAGGCGTGGTCGGCGGAGCTCGGCGGTCTCCCGCGGTTGTACTGAGCTCCGGAGGTCGCGCTGCCGATGCGGCAAGAGCCATCGGGAAGGATGGCGGGATTTACACATACAATTGGCCACAGAAAGCTGTTTCGTGGCCCTTCTCCAAAGACTGCCATGGTTCATGTTCCCAACCATCCGTCTGTATCAGTCCTCTTGTGACTGACCAGTGAACCTCAAAGCGGACGGGCAACGGTAAAGTGACCATAGATGGCCTCTTACATTCTTTTACTTTTGGTTGGTGGATGAATAGTGGGGGATACCCACCAGTAACAGTCTGCAAAAGATTATCTCATCAGCACTGAGTTGAAATTTTTGAGAAGGTCTTTACAAACCATAATCATCCACTGTTACTGGGAATGGGATATATATGATATAAGGATATCTAAGGGATACCCCCAAGCGAACAACCAATAGGACCCACTGGTACCACTCGGACCTTCCATGTCAGTCGCATGCGCGCAGGTTCAACGTCATCGATTTCGTGGAAGGCGGCTGCGATGACTTGCCCTTTGGGGAGTATCGGCGCCTCGGGTTGAAGATTTGCCACGCCCTATCGCAAACACTCCATGGGACTGCCATACATGCCGATCAATTGACCCCTCAAACCACCCCAATGTGGGCATATGTAACATACATGGGCAACATCTGCCAACCATGCAACATTTCAGCCGAACTTGGCATATTTGATGGGAGCAGTGTATATATAGTTGAAACATGCTGGAAAAATCCCAGAACCACACTGGGAGTGTATTTGGGAGACCCCCAGCCAATGGGTAAACTGATCCATACTTTCCACAAGGGGACTCTTTATGCGGGGTCTCCCTCTTCCACTACACACCCAGCCTGGCTGGGTGTGCCTTGGTCGAAGAATGTCCAAGAAAACGACTCGGAAACGACGAAAGGTCTGCGTGGACGGCGCCTTCGATCGAGATCGGTCCGAGGGACATCGATCGATCTCAGACGCGGACTGCTTGGTGGAAAACCACTCTTCCAAGGGGGTCCATGAGAGTTATCCAGGACGCGCCAAATCCTACCCCTTCTGAGAAGGTGGGACTGGTGTTTAGAGGGTCCAAACAACATTTGAGGAGGTACTTGGAGCGCTAGGGATATACATGACTGGAGGATTTGGGTGGTGAATGCAGGCCAAGTTGTAGGCCATCATTGGCGCCACCAGTTTCAGCATTTGGATGAAAACACGCTGTAGCGCAATGAATGCGGGTTTGGCGAAGCGGTTTTTCGAGGAGCGTCGATGAGAAGCGGCTGAACGACTGCGCAGAGCGCATCTTCTTGCAGCTGAAAGGACAGCAGACGGTCTCCGCTGTTCGTGGCAAGAACGACAGCAAATCCAAGCAAGACGTGGCAAACACCAGCAAATCCAAGGGGAACTTCGGCCTAAAAAGAGAGACATTTTTCACTTCCAGTACCACTAGACCCCCCTGACTATCTCTTTTCCAGCGACACCACCTGGTTCAGGAAGCGTGGTGCTGGTTGGTGATGTTGCCGTTGGACGTCTCATGTCTCACCCTGATGGCAGGAATGATTGTCCTCCAGCTGGAGGGAGCTTTGAACTATGACGTCTATGCCTTTCTGCAGGCGCGGTGGCGTCGGAGCTCGGTGGTAGGTGCTGCGAGTGCGAGGGCGTGGCATGACCCTGGGATTCCAACTTAATTTTTGACGGTCTTTACCAAACAACCATTGTTTCACCAAGGATTTTAGACTACCATACCAGGTCAACTGTTCTTTTGATGGTCTTTCAAGGCTAGGGATGACATCGATGGGCGACCAAGTTACTGCCCAGACGCGACCAATGGGACTGCACTCCGTCCTGGTCTTGGGCGGTTTTCATGTAGACCATTGGGTGTAGCCACCATTGTGTCCTGTCTGGTGATTCATTTGATGTCCGGACTCCATGTTTATGAACTCATCCAACTTGTCCCTATACTGATTACGCAAGAGGTTGAAAGACATAAATGATACCTATATAATATTATATTATCGTATAGAACCATTACTGAGGGGAGTCACACATTCTCACCTTCTTAGCTGAAGGCCGCGACCAAGAAAAAGCCCCTATCACTCCCTGCTACATGTGTCCGGTTGTTTTTCTTCCGCGGTCGTGTGCGGTTGGACAGGGGAAGCTGTTGAATGACATGCACTCAGAGATGGCACAGTGGATTCGTCAGCTGATGGACCATGCGCAGGAGCTTAAGGAGATGTTGTCAGGCGTGGGAGCTCAAGGGGAGGAGGAAAGAAAGATAGGAAAGCGTTGATGTGCTGTTGCAGCGTGTAACTCCAGGTAGATTGGGAGGGTTCAACCACTTCAGGAAGTTTTCGTGTTCACGCGCGCGCGCGCGCGCCGCTGACCGACTGACTGACTGACTGACCGACCGAGTGAATATGCAATAGTCATCCCATGTCATTTCAGCCCAAACATGTCCAAGAGTTTTGCTTTAACATGCTTTAACCAACACTTTCGATTTCTGAACTGAACTTCAAGCCTGCACCTCACCCAAATGAGCCTTCCAAAGCGGGGGGGGTGCTTGGCCCCAGTGCGTCCGGGCGGGCTCCAGTCGTACCTTCTGACAGGGTTGTTTGGGGTGCCCAGACACTCCATGTATGGTATATTTCCATACATTGAGGATCATTGAGGTGGTTTGAGAGGTCAATTGATTGGCATATGTAGGCGGAGGCCAGACATGGCTTGTTTGGGGTGGGTTTTGGACGGTCGAAGCTCGATTTCTGCCATGAAGATCCGATTCTCACCACCGACAGGGAGGCTGAATCCCGAAGCTTCGAACAGGACCCTCAGCCGTGGTAAATGGACACCCCGAATCACGGCGGTTTGGGGCTAGACACCCCGAACGAGTCGGGTCCGGGTACAATTCAGGTCTTTTTGCTTTTTTGTTGAGGTCTTGGAAGGCTTCTTTGGGCGGCTATACTCCGGGAGATCGTTCGCGCCCCTGTACGCCTTCACCTCTTCCGTGCGTGGACGTGCCAAACATGTGCAGGTTCGGAGGAGCTCAAAGCCCAGCTACGCATGAAGAAGGAGGAGCTGAGCCTTTGTGAGGAAGCCTTCGAGAAGTTGCTTGACATGCTTCATCAGTGTTCCTCTTGGGTCGAGGAAGGGGTCAAGAAGGGGTCTGAGCACTGTAGGACAGACCCCAGAAGGCTTGAGACGGCCCTTCTCCCGTTCGTGACCTGATTCTTCAGGGTGACTGAGGTCTTCAGGGTGGCCTGACACGTCAAGGGCCACAAAGAGGGACTCCAAGAGGGCCAGTTCACGAAGAAGACATTGGAGTACGACGAGTGGGAACCTGACCTCATTGCTTGACGAGAGCACCGTGTCCGTCTGGATGGTGCACCCCTTCCATGTCGTCTCCTGAGAATGGCCAGGGGATCCAGTGAAATCGTGAACGTTCGCTGGTCACCATGTGGTTCCAAAGACGACAAACACCTGAAACGACTGACCATATGGGGGTCCCATCAGGGCCCTATATGTTGCGTCAAAGGTGCTTACTTTTCGAGAGTCACTGGGGTCACGCAAGCACCTGTACACGGTCAGGTGTAATCCTTCTGACACGATAATCATCTTAGTCACTTGGAGCTCTGGTCGAAGAAAACCAATGGCCCCCTGACCAACTCTACTCCACAAACGGCCACGAACAGCCGGACGCCCAGCCTGGAAGAGTGGCAAAAGCACATGCTCTTAGACATGACCTGTCAACTGGGGGTGACATCGTGTCAACCCCTACCCTAGGATTCCAACACGCCATTGATGTTCAATGATGTTTGCGTACAAGCATTTTTTCAACCCATAATTTTAGATACTGTAGCCTGTAGCTGTAGTTCGCATTGAATTTGACGGTCCGTTCTTGGCTCTCACACCTATGTCTTTTTTGGGGGTCATGCTTTAAGTCTTAACCAGGCCTGATGCTTGGTGCAGTTTTATGTAGTTATGTCGGGCACGCCAGCCATAGATACAAGGAGCCAAAATAGTTTTATAAAGCAAAAACAAAGCAAAAAAAGCAAAAGGCAAAGCAAACAAAAAAGCAAACAAATGTAGCTGTGCGTATTTGTCGCTTTTTTTCACCTTTTTTTCGCTTTATTTTCACATTTTTTTCGCTTTTTTCGCTTTTTTTCCTAGGAGGGTACAGCAAAAACATATTTGTCGCGTTTTTTGCACTTTTTTTTTCGCTTTATTTTCGCATTTTTTTCGCTTTAGTGTCGCTTTTTTTTCGCCTTTTTTTCGCTTTTTGTTTTGCTTTGTTTTTGCTTTGTTTTTGCATTTTCATTTGCTTTTGTTTTTCACCTTTTTTTCACAAAAAAGACTATTTGATGGTTGGCCATGTATGGCTGCCATCGCCCAACATAACTATGTAGTTCTCCTTCTTTGGTTGCTTAATCAATATGTTTCATCTTTGGAGAAAAACGTGCTATAGGCCTCAACTTGGTGGGCAAAAGTGGTGTCAAACATGGTCTGAAAGCCCTCCCTGTTTTCTGCCGGCAGCCGTGCACAGGTTGGACCCCACGGGCGCCTTTGAAAGCCGTTGCCGCCAAGCGGACCGCGCGACCCTCCTGGCGGCGCAACACGCCCCTGGTCGTCGGTGGAAGGGACGTTCTCGGACGTTGGGTGCAGAGAGACTGCCGGAAGGACTGATGAAGCGCAGAGTCGTTGTGAAGCCAGAGCAGAACGAACTTGTTCTTGTTGTGAAAAGAAGACATCAAAGACCCGGTAGGGTATAGGTCATGTGAAGATCTTTTCATCCTCTATATTTGGCTCTGACATCCTTGGCCTGACATGGAAGGTCTGTTCTTTTCACCCAATATCTTCCACCAGATCACCCGTTTGGACGGTTTCCTTCTGTTCGAACCCCCGCAAAAAGACTTGGACGAGCCCCGACGGTGCCCCGCAAGACGCTGGGACCGATCCCTTAAGTCGCGGCAGAGCGAGCAACGACCTGTGGTCGCGCCCCCAACCAAAACCCCATCCGCGGATGCACCCGCCCAAAGCAGACATCTCATCCAAAAACCGCCAGACTCGATGCTAGCTTCGGGCCTTCCCACCCTAATATCTGACATCTTCGGAATCCGATGTCCTGGACCCCACCGGGATGCCGCGATGCCCGTGGATTCCGCTGCGTCACGCGTCCGAGGCTCCAAAGCCCGCGCCACTGCCGGTGAGCCAGTCCAAGCTACTGGAGGGTGCGCTTTGGATGTGCTAAGGTTGGCGGGTCAAGCGGGTCCTAGTCCCTAAGCGTCCTGGTCCATCCCTTTCATGCTCTGGCCCCCCAGGCAGTTCGACCATGCTCTGGAAGTACAAAGTCATACCTGGACCCGATGGGAAAGAGGGGCGCAAGGATGCACAAGAAATCACAAGAACATGATCCCATCGCTACTGGTGGGAGTCAAAAGACGGGGATGACACAGCGAGTGATCTCCTGAGTTTCTGCTGGGTGTAGTGAGTGGCAACAGAAGTATCTATCGATAATATATATATATTTATAACATGTCTTACTATAAGTCTTATATTGCATGCCGACTGATTCCATTACCTCCAACCTCACCTGGTCTGCTGTAATGTCTGCCAATTTGTTTAATTCCAAGTAACATGCTTGACTGTCACAGGAAAGAACACAACTTCAGGCTGCTGTGCTTGACGTTGACCGTCTGGGTACGTTTTCCACTGCAGCTCGACACCGACGGGCTCCGCCGGCTCCGAGACCGCCGCGGCGCTGAGGAGTTGGACTTGGGTTTGAAGCTGTCCAAGTTGAAGGGGCCCTGGCTCTGCGACCTCCGCGAGGCGGCCGAGCAGGCCGGAGGTACGACACGCCTGCGGTCCGCGGGGAGTATACAGAGACGACAGGTGCGGTGAGCGGCATGGTCCACGGAAGTAAAGCGGGGTCGGCGTGAAGAGGGGGTGAGATGGGGAGCTGCTGAAGCGGACATCAGAGAGTTGGAGTTGTCGTTGTTGTTGTGGCGGTGGTTGTTAGAATGACGAGGCTGTACGTAAGAGTTGAACGCCTTTAATATCCTTTTTTTCTAGCTCTTGCCTTTTTGCGAAGGGCCGCGAAGGGTACAGATTGGTACAGAAGGCGGGTTTGGAAGATGATGTTGTAGCCGGATGGATGCTTCAAACTTCCTTAGCTCGTAGTCTTGTTAGTTTGTGAATCATAAAAGTTGCTGTTTCTCTTGAAATTCCAGGCAACATCAACAGACTTTTCAAGTGAGTTCACTCCACGAGACAAATATATGTTCCACCCACACCGATGTCACCGGCGCAAGTGACGCCCGTGGCGGTACCTCCGGTACCTCCGCAGGATCTGCTGGGAGATCTCAATGGGCGTCCGCAGATGGTCACAGTGGCTCGAAGACTCGGTTCGCGGCTCGCGTAGGCGAACTGCTTCGTTTTGGGTGACTCGCCCTTCGACCTGATGCGACCTGTTTGGGATCGAAGGAATGGAGCCATGAGAGGCGAACGTTCCGGTGAAAGAACACCGTTTGACGCCATTTTTGAAGATCGTTCGAAGGCTGGTCGGACATGTTGGGGAGTATAAATGTATATAAATGTCTCATGTTTGCTCAACCTTTCCTACAGTGCTTGGAGCTGCCATTGAAGAGCGTTTCAGGTTTCGAAGCAGGCTCCAGCCCCAGGGCATGATGATTGGGTAATTTCCGCTGTTGCAGCCATCTGCAGCCTCTTCCTATGACTTCAGTACCTTGATGAGTGGTCAAAACAGGGTACTTGAGATGTACAGAATCTCCAGACTGTTGACATATAGGGTCTCCAGATTCGATGGGGTGCCAGGAGATTGCGCAGGATGTTCATCATGATTTCAGACTTGATTTCAGACTTATGGTTTCAATTCCCTATAGAGGTCTTTGCAGTTTTGTCATACAAAACACTGTTACGGAGGTGTTCAGGGACCGTTCAGGCTTCACTGGGTCACTTCGGACTGGTGCGCCATGCCCATGCAGGGGTTCCGAGCGCCGTCGCTCTGAGGTGGACAGCCAAGTGGTGGGCGATCGACTGCGCTATTGGCTCACGCTGAAGCCAGACGCGGAGACACCCGGCCGGAAGAGGTGGAGAGGTGGACGGAGAGACCGGGCCCAAGGCGTTTTGGGGTGGCATGAACGTATGGTATATATACTAAAAATCCAATAGCTATCCCAGAAAACTGCTGCATATGATATATCCATTTCTTTGAAAGGCTGATTTGAAAGAATTCAATTTGAGGCACCTGTTGGTAGTAACACACCTAGGTCCCAGGCCCGACACACGGGCGTTGAGCAACGGACACGACCGTCCTGGTCATCTCCGAGTAAGACGAACCTGGACCTGGCTGAGCCTTTGATGGCCTATAGGCTATAGCGGCTATAGGCCTATAGGGCCTGCCAACAGAGGTCAAGTCACCGTAAATAGGACCCGTCACCTGGGATACCTATGGGATAGTCTATAGGGTCATTCAACCTCTGTTGGTGGTCTGAGGAATTGGGATTGCGGGGTGGAAGTGCTCAAAAAGGAGAAGAAGAAACGCATGGCACGCTGCTGATTTCAGAGAGAGAGAGAGAGAGCTCACTGCTTCTACGACCATGTTGAGTCCATGGTGACATATGGTGAGTGACATATGGCGACATAGATGGTGTACCATTTGTCCAAATTGGGAAGTTATCCTGCTGATTTTCATCGGAGACCTCTCTTCAGCTGGATGAGTCTTAAAAAGTCTCTTTGTTTTTGATCTCCGCCCGGTCACACCTGAGAGCAGCTCGCTCTGTCAGAAGAGCTCCGCTCCATGTGGAGAGTCCGTGACGATGGCTTGATGGCTTTTCTGGTTGAAAAGACCATCGCTGAAATGTGAACCATCGTATTTTCAAACTTCAGATGTATCCTTTTATATAGCGAGTTTGTTGCTTCCAAATCATCCAAGAGAAGGACTCTATAGTCTCAATAGGAGTGGGTTCCCGACATTCACCTATAGCGGAGGAATTCATCCAACAAAGCGAATTCCATCGAATCTGGTTCACATCACAGGTCGACACCCACCGAACCATCCCCTACGTCCACGAGCGAAAACGGCTGGCCCCGGCCCCGCCACACGAGCGACGACCCGCACCAGCGATCCGCCAGGAAGGAGACGCTGGAGCGCATTGAGCAAGCCCAGACGTCCGGCTACCCCAGGGCCAAGGCGGTCTACCAGAAGTTCACTAAAGGCGGACGACGGACGACGGACGTCGTGGGCGGGCGACCCGTGGTGGCGTGGTGCAGCGCGGCTTGGAGGGCGGGGTAGTGGTCGCCTTCAGAGCGGTCTTCGAGAGACTGAAGAGCACACGTGCTCGTGGTTTGAGGGGTGGAAAGGGAGAGGCACAGGGAGTGAGGAGCTGGATGTGTCTACAGATGTGTTGAGCTTCTGCACTTTTTCTCCCGCAAATGCTATACTTCGATCATCTTCGATCAAAGCAGAGTTGATTGGGGTTCTATGAATTCGGAGAGTTCTACGATGTGGTACGGCCTTCTTGCAGTGCTCTGTGGATCGTTGTTTCCGACTTCTCACTTGGTGAGACTCGGTCGGAGTCGGGCGACGAACGATTCCATGTCGCGGTCGATTGAACGGTGCAGATGGAGCGATGAACGACATGCGTCTGCCGATGGTGCGAGGTGGCTTAAGGGGCTTACCAGAAGAGGTTGAATGACCCTATAGACTATCCCATAGGTATCCCAGGTGACGGGTCCTATTTACGGTCACTTGACCTCTCTTGGTAAGGGACGATGGTTGCGATGTCGGAGGTGGCACGAGGTGGCGTCGACTGTGATGCCGATTTTGGGCGGGGAAGATCCCAAAAAGGCCTAAGAGCTGTTGACTGAGTACTCACGTGTACTAACAGCCCACAGCTGCTGATGTATTTTTTTCCCGTGTGTAAGGTTTTGTAGAGATGGAGCTTGGTGAAGATGAAGATGCAACGGACGAGAGTACGAGAGGGACAGAAATCGAAAAGAATCCAAGCATGGAGAGAGGGAACATGTTGATTGCTCTGCTGAAGGTGGCGGTTGGGGAACCCTATGCCAGCAAGACGGGCCACGAGTTAACACCATGCTCATCCATAAGCGTAATATTCCACAGTGAATAGGGTGGGGTCCGACCAGTACAGCACCACAGCGACAGATTTGTCCCGGCCTCTCTTAGCTTTTGGACTCCAGGTGGCCCTGGTGATGACTCGGCTCCAATTGCCATCAGGTTGCATTTTGGGCGGGGCGCGGATGCAGCGAGAGTGGTTCAGAAGTCATAGGGCTGTGAGTCAAAACCCCGCAACCCTGGTTCATCAGAGAGAATGAACCGAATAGACTACGTCACATCGTACTAGACATGGTCAACCTAACAGGGTGGTTTAGAGGCTCCGCATGCCATGAGCCCACAGCCAATGCTCTTCGGGTCTCGCTTCCGGGAACGGGCCCTCGTCGGCATACTGTCTTGGATTCTGGTTGGACTCCTGAGCAGCCCAAACCTGTTGAGATTGGAACTCTTTGCAAAGATGGCAAACTGCATCAAACTACTGGATGGTCAGCTTATGTCAGCTTTACAACGTATACTTTTAACATCTTTTAAATACGTTTGAAGCAATGATTGATTCCCACATCGGCCAAGCTGTCGGCCCAGCTGCGCATAGCTGAGGCGGCGCCGGCCCCGCCCCCCTCCGGGGCTTCTCAGGGGCGCATCTGGAGCCGGACGCCGTGAGGACCAGGACCGGTGGTGTCACAATGGGTCGATGAGCTCGGAGCGCGACCGACCGACTGGGTCGATGGGCCGAGTGGTGGCAACGTGTGGCAACTCTATACAAAGGACACGACCTCGCTGCCAGGACGGATTGCCGAGAAACGGCCAGGGGTGGTTTTGGATGGTTTTGGGGGTCAATGTAGGTGTAGGCATATATGGCATACATGGAGTGTCTGGGTATTTCTGATGATTTATGGCATGAAAAACTGCGAACAACACGAGCTAGATGGCTCATGTTGATAAGTCCAAACACAATTGGTTCACTTCACTTTGTATTAGACCATCTACTACAACATTTAGCTGATGCATAAACATTGTGACTACAGCAAATACAATAACAGATAGGCACCAAGGAATGCCAAGTTTAGGGCCTTCCAAAACAATCTCCTCGGCAAACATGATTGCCGGAGACAGCCTAACTAGCGTCGAACACGCAGAAAACACATCAAGTTGGTTGAGCCCTTGCCCTTCCAACCATGCAAAAAACACATATTCAAACGTTCAGCAATCATATGCTTCTGCATATCCTTTTTTGGGGGGTTCTGAGATCATCATCTCTGCCAGATCAAACTATGATACTACCCAGACACGACACATGGGACTGCCATATATGCCAATGCCGATCCATTGACCCCTGGCCGTTTCTCGGCATGGAGTGTGTGGGCTATGGTCCTGCCCGGTGTTTTTTTCTGTGGATGATTCCACGCCGGGAGCGCTTTGAAGTCACAGCGGCCTTTTCATCATCCGAACGCACGGGCAGCGCACCACGTGGCCAGGACCCGCAAAACAGGCCGCGGCCACCGCAGCGCGCGGCAGTTGGCTGTCGTAATGAGCTCAGACTATCTCAGAAGGATGGCCCACCAGTGAAGCCACTGAAAGTGAGGAGTGAGGAAATAGTGAGGCGGAACAGAAATAATAGATATTTTTGTTGCTGGAGGAGCCCAAGGTCCCGCGCAGATTTGTTCAGCCACATCTGCGACTGGAAAGTTGCTGAACCAATCTTAGGTTGCCAAGCCTTCCGGAGATAGATCTACCAGGAACTCTTTGAATTCTTTGCGCCACAATGAGAAGACTCTCGCGAGTCCGCAGATGAGGCAGATGAAGCAGACGGGTTGTTATTAAGCAAAAAGGATTCAACCCTATGCCCTAGGGCTCCAAGTACCTTCTCAGGAGGGTGGGATTGGAGGGTCCAAACACCTTCTGAGGAGGTACCTGGAGCCCAAACGGGATGGTGTCCACATATTTCAACTATACTTCCTGTGAAGGTGCGACCCTGCTGGTCGTTTTCGACATCAAACTGAGTCTCACAACCTTCTGACAAAGGAGTTACAACCTTATGACGACACTTCTGGAACGAGTACGGAACCCCTGGAAAACCAGAAGGTCCCTATGGTTCCAAACGACCTTCTGGAAAACCCTGAGCATTGACTTCTCGATGACACTCACGTGTCTCAGTTGCCTCGATCTTTGCCGGCATCGTGGTGAGTCTTTCCCAGTGGCTCGTTTTGTCTGGGGTGGGGTGCGTTCTTCAAGCAGGGTTGGCTCGCCGATCTTTTTTCCCACTGCAGAGGGTTTCTCATCTTCTTTTGGGAGTGAGAGAGAGTAGGAACATCGAATGCTACCGTCGTAGGTCCCAAAGGTGTTATGCTATATTTTTTAAAATCTACTCCCAGCAGCGGTACGTCGCTAGCTTTAGGGAGCAGGTTTAGGGTTGAGGGGTTGGAAATCGAACAGGGACCTAAACAAATCGAAATTAGAACCCAAACACAATTGAACAAAGGGCCTTCAAAACCTCATCCAGTAGATGGGATTGTAGATGGGATTGTTTCAAGAAACCAACATTCGATTGGTAGTAACACCTCCGACATCAAGCCTGGTTTGATCCCGTTCTCCCATGTCCCCCCGGCTATCCCGTCCGTCCACGGGCCCATACGCAGATGATGCTCGAAGCAGCGATCAGATCGCCATCCTTGGGTATAAAGGAGGTCCTGCGGAAGGTCGTTTTTGGCATCAAAAAAGACGCAAGAAATGGACCCTTCTCAGTGGAGGCCGCGGGTCCTGTTTGATGGGTATCTATTTGGGAACCCTCCCAACACCTTCCGTGGTACCTCTGCTGCACGTCCCGTGACCCATTTGCACGTCTATACCGATCTACATCGGAGGATCACCGATGCCCACGGCTGGCCGGAGGAACCTTCAGAGGTCCTCAAAGAGACAGATGGACACATGAAGTGGATTCAACATGTGCGACAACTACGTTGCATTCATTCGCGGACAGCAGCACACAACAAATATTTGGCCGTACCTCATATGGAAACCGGTTTTCAACACATGTATACGTACCTTGAAGTGTTTCGATGGGTACTGTAGGTGTTCGACAGGTGTGCTAACTTGGGTGTTAACGGTTTGCCTCTCGCTTGTGAACCTGCCCAGTACGTGTGGGGCATTCGAGGTTAGATATAGAAAGAGGAAAATCCGACAATAATGGACACTCCTTTGATCGGAGAGAGATAGATCGATTTCGCCATGAGTGTCGCCATCCGAAGTCTCAACCCGCAAATGAATGGAAGGGCGATGTGTGGTTCAGGTCCAAAGCCCGGACTCCCGAACACCACGGGTGAAGTCCTCCCCAACACCTATAGGTACGAGATGTGATGTTTCCCGAGTTCGACAGCAAATCGCAGCGGGATCCCGTGTCCGCAGCTGAAAACGGTCCGGCATCACTAGTGGCCGACGTTCACCACCAAAACCACCATTTAATAGGCCATATTTGTTATATTCCCAGACACTGCATAATATATGCCATATATTCCGATCAATTGACCCCCCAAACCACCCCAATGTAGGCGTATTTGGCAGTCCCATGGAGTGTCTGGGGATTGATCACATGCATGTGTTTGAGACCTCCGGTGCGTGCGCCAGCTAGCTCTCGCAGTCGTGCGACCTCCGATGTTCGAACGCGAATTCAACCGACGCGGAACGCCGCAAGACAAACGCCCGCGATCTTCCCCCGTGACGCCCCGAGTGGGATCGGATGAAGAAATGCCAGAAGAACAGTGACTGCTCCTGCGGATTCCAGGTCGCTCAAAGCCAGAGATATGAGTCGTACTTGTTCCTCGAAACCTGATGGAGCCTTTTGCTTTTGGAAGTCACGGAACATGGTCACATGGGCATGAACCAAGAACTCCAATGACGGAAAGAACCCACTCGCCTTGCAGTTCGCATGCGCAGCGAGTGCGCAGCGCATGCGCTTCTGGGCTCTCACTGCGAACCTGTAGCTGACAGCTGGTAGCTGTGCTAATAGGACGAGGCGTGTCAATGCGGAAGCCATAGTATGGCGGGAAAAGTGGTCGCTCGGGAGGGTGGGGCGGTTTGAGAAGCCGCCGGGTCAAGGACTCGAAGTAAAGGCTGGGAGATCGGTTGATGGTTATGGCCATGGAAATCCGCAGCCCACGCAGATCAGTCACCGGGAGAGGCTGGGACCGGATGAGTTGTCATGGAGTCCCCCGTCCCTTTGAGGAAGGAGAAGCCCACTGAGGAGAAATCATCACGTACGAGTCGCTAGCCATACGCTCACCGTGTTGCAGTCATGCCATGTGTGCCAAGAAGAAGATTGATATACCTGGAGTCACAAAGGGGTGGTGTTTGGTCCGTAAGTGAGTATAGATAACGGGCACCCCTAACCTCCAAGTTCGGCACCCCGTCGAACGTGACTCCTGGTACCTGGAATCTGTTGGAACGCCGTACAGCCGCCGTTTACCGCCGTACCGCCGTGCCAGGTTTGAGGCTCGGAGGCGTTCGGGTCGCTTCGGCGACCAGACCAGTTGAGACCGAGCTTAGTGGTAACACACGCTTTCAAGCCATTCAAGATCGTTGAGAAGGGTCAGGGCCTTAGGACCTTAGGACCGACCTGGTAGTATCAAGGCTTTGAACCCGGTTTCAAGCCAGTCAAACGATGATATACCGATACCAGGACCTTAGGTATACTACCTCTCGAAGAGGTGACCGAACCTCCTGGGAGATCATCTCGGGTCACTGCAGCTGAAGGTCCTGGTATTAGGTATCTCATCGTGCAAATGGGTTTTGACCCACAAGCCATGTGGCGGGATCCTCCCAGCCATGTGGCGGGATCCTCCCAGCATCCGGGGATCAGTGCAGGATCGGAAGACTAGACTCGACGCTGGTCTCGAGATGTCCACACAATCCCTGGTCCGCAGTTGAATTGGAAGTCCTTTTCCTTTGGGGGTTTTATATGGTTGTATGGATCAAGAGTCAACAGGCTGTGTTTGGAGCTCCATTCGTCAGACCCACCCCGGTCGATGCATCAGTGCTGACCAGAAAGACATATTATTTGTTTGTCTTAAACTCGTGCACTTCGTGATTCACAAGAGCCTCGGAGACGTTCTGCTTCCTGGCTCCAGCATACTGAGCCACTTTCTGGAATCAAGGACCCTCAAAGCCCAGGGTCCAGGTTCCAGTCGTTGATAGAGAAGGTGCTCATGCAAATCGAGATCCAAATCCCGTGTTGTGTTTGGCCCGAGACACGGCTACTTTGACCCAGTGAAAGCAGACCCCACAAAACAAGGGATGACGATCCTGGGCTGAGGAGTGTAAGGCCTAGTCGATGTACCAAACTAGATAGAGGTTACTCAGACTGATATTTGTGTCGGAACAGTGTTGCTTCATCCCGATGGCCTCGGGGAAATGTCATAGTCAGCTTGGGATGTTGACAGTCCCGGCCTGTGCAAGAAGTATATTATATATTTGGATTATTTGGATCTTTAGATTCAACGTTTGTTGGAAGATTAAGGGATTTTATCCATTCTTATATATCCTTATTATCTTCAAGTTTATGAAAAGGAATTCTGATGAGTAGAATGAAACAACCATAAATCACTCCCCCCAGACACTCCGTGGGGCTGCCGTATTTCACTCCATCGGGCGGTGAAAAACTCCGGGTC